ATATCGTCTCCGTGGTTAAGTTGGTTAAACCAAAATGTAATAAAAAGTAAAGTAATAACATAGACGTGCCAATATGAATACAAATTACATCTTCCACCATCTTTTCATTGAATAATTCATAGTAAAATATTTGTTTTGAATAAGTTGGGAAAATGATATGGTTTCGATAAGACAAATTCAATAGAAAATTACCAAGAAAACGCAGTTAGCTACAAATTGTCACGTTATCAACTAGATTTACAATTATAAAATAGGCAAGTTAAAGAGCGAATGACTATATAAGTACCCTCAAGGATCACCAAATATAGCACCATCAGCTTTCCCCTTCGAAACCAAAGGTCATTTCTCTACTTCTTTCTCATTTAATTTACATTTGTTTTATATTAGCAACATGTGTTTTGATTCGTACAAACGAATATGATCTTGATTTTCTTATTTCGTATTAGGCATCAAATATCTCAGAATCGGCCCTATCTGCGGAAAAAAGAAAGAAACATGACACAAAGAGTGGAAGCACAAGGAGGAACTGGAGGAGGTGGTTGGGACGATGGCATCAACACTGGTTTAAGGAAAGTGAATGTGGGATATGATGGATCTTGTGTGAGTTATGTCAGGTTCGAATATTTCAATGATGGCATGGTGAGGTCACATGCGCATGGCGTCCAGAATAACGAACCGCAAGAGGTCTTTTTATTTTATTTTACAAAAGCTCTCTAAGATTGTTTATGTATATATATCCACAGCCCCAACGAAAGTTTCATGCCTTGTTCCAACCACATAACACAACAAAACTTTCCTATCGATCCAAAACCACTCAAAGTTTTAAGATCCGCTTTTGTTCAATCGTTGGTTGCGAAGTCAATTTAGTTTTGATTTTTGACCGCGATTTCTACTAAATTAAATACAAAACCATTCAAGTCTAAGTGTATGTGGCTTTAGATCGATTTTCAAACTCTGTTTGGTTTAGGATTGTAAAGTTTTATTTTGTATAATTTCTTAAATAAATTCAAACTTTATGTGGCTGAAACAAGAAATGAAACTTTCGGACCCCATTCCAAAATAAACAATCGTAATTTATTTTTTTGTTTTAAAATTCTTTCTGACCCTTTAATTTATTTCGACTAACGAAACAAAGTTAAACCAAACTCTATTACTGCAGTTTGTCATCGACTATCCAAATGAATACATCACCTCCGTGGAAGGAACTTACGCGTATGTAAGTTACGTTCATGGCTTCGTTATCAACTCGCTTATCTTCAAAACATCAACGGGAAGAACATCTGTGAGATTCGGGAACCAGGGATTCGTGCTGGAGAATAATGGTCGGAAGCTTGTGGGGTTCCATGGGAGGGCCGGCTTGGCTCTAGATGCCATTGGGGCTTATTTTGCCCCTGACTCGTCAGTATGGGTTCCGCCCAAGAGACTTGAGGCACAAGGTGGTCCAGGAGGAAACATATGGGACGATGGAGTTTTCGATGATGTAAAAAAAGTTTATGTAGGAAGAGATGCGGCTTGTGTAACTTACGTCAAGTTCGACTATGTAAGAGACGGCCGAATCGAAGAAATTCGTGAGCATGGCAAGGTAGTCCAAATTCCACAAGAGGTAAATAATTTGGCTTCAAAAACACTTCAAGAACTCTTTATATATGTGAAGTTAGATCGATCTCGATTTTAGCGTATACTTTTTTGGATCGGAAACCAAATACGATATTTGCTCGAATATGATAGGCTTGAAACTGTTGGGAATCCCACCTTAGCAAAATATAGTCTCATATAGTTTAAAGGAATGCCCTAAAATATCACAATTTTAAGTTTTTATTCTAAATATCACTATTAGTTTTTTTTTTTTTTTGAAAAAGTATATCACTATTAGTTATAGTACCACTATATTTTATTTTAAGTTTTTATCCTAAATAGACTGATTGTAGTTTTTTGTATGTTTACATACATACAATTGGTGATTGCAGTTCTTGCTTGATTATCCAAACGAATATATAACATCAGTCGAAGGAACATATGGTAAAGTGATCAATACCAACAATAACATCCTCACGAGTCTTGCATTCACAACATCAGAAGGAAGGACTTCTCCAACATTTGGTGCTACAAAGTTTGTGCTCGAAGACAATGGTCGTCAGATCGTTGGGTTCCATGGACGGTCTGGAACCGTTATTGATGCCATTGGAGCATATTTTGCTCCCCCACCATCACCTTGTTGAGCACTAATTGAGTTTGTTTCTCTTGTACTTTTTTCTTTGGAAGAAAAAAAATGCTTCATGAACAATCCTCTGATTTTCTTTTTGTTGTTATTGATGTTATTTTGTATGTATCGTGAAATTGTGTCTGTATATATCTATATGAACAAAATTTATTTCGTTCTATATGTTTTAAAGTCCAATCTTTTTTATTTTATTTTGCTGCCATTCCTAGAATCCATTTTAACATTTCTAAAGAATCTCTAATGTTAATAATTAATTAGAAAAATCTTCCATATTATGATATATCACTATAAGCTCATAATTGTCAACAAACGTATTTCAGCTCATAATCAAATATGTATGTGTTGGGAGATATACGAGATCGACCAAAACCAAAATGAGATTGATTGAAATTACGAATTAAGATCAAGATTCGATAGTGAAAATTATCATAGATATTCGTGAATATCTTTTAATTTAGAAAATTTAGCGTTACAGAATTAAATGTATCTTGTAATTTTATTCCTCTAATATAGGTGATATATCTCATGATGTGAACGAAT